AGAAACACTAAAACTACCAGGAGTACAGGATAAGATAGGACAGTGCTCTACACTAAAGCAATTGTTGAAGCAATTCTACTAAAGCTGGCACAAAAGCAATAATTCTTAATTAGAGAGGGATGGAACTCCCCCAGACCAGTGCTCATGGGGAGATCTCTGCTCTCAACCTCCAGCAGTGACCTTGGGGGGTCCCCAGCCAAGGCAGGAATCTCCACACACCCCCCAGGAAGGGTTCTGTTGGAAGAACCTGCCCCTGTGAAAGGGGACTGGCTCTTTGTGGTCGAAAGGGATGGACTGACAGCCACTGGACTCCAGGGGTTGCCTCCAAATCAGGGGGTTCATTCGGGGTGGAAGCAGCAGCCGAAGGTCTTCCTGCAGTCGGGGCACTCACAAGGTTCTCTTACTGGTGGGTCTGCTGGTGTTGGGTCAAGCCAGCCCTCTGGGTGAAGCTCTTCCCACACTCCCCACACTTGTAGGGCCTCTCCCCGGTGTGGATGCGCTGGTGGGTGATGAGGTTGCCATTCTGGTTGAAGCCCTTCCCGCAGTCGGTGCAGCGGAAGGGCCTCTCATCCGTGTGCGTCCGCTGGTGCTTCAGGAGATCTGAGCTGCTCTGAAACCTCTTCCCACATTCCAAGCACTTGTAGGGCCGTTCCCCAGTGTGGATGTGCTTGTGTCGGATCAGGTTGGATCTGCAGTTAAAGCTCTTCCCACATTCCACACACTCATAGGGCCGTCCCCCAGTGTGGATGTGCTGGTGGGTGAGGAGGTTGGAGCTGCAGTTGAAACTCTTCCCACATTTCTGACACATGTAGGGCTGTTCCCCAGTGTGGATGTGCTGGTGTCGGATCAGGTGGGAGCTCTTCCTGAAGCTCTTCCCACATTCCCCACATGAGTAGGGCTGTTCCCCCGTGTGGATGAGCTGGTGTTGGCTCAGAGTGGAGTTGTCCCTGAAGCTCTTCCCACATTCCCCACACCTGTAGGGCCATTCCCCAGTGTGGATGCGCTGGTGACGGATCTGGGTGGAGCTGTCCCTGAAGCTCTTCCCACATTCCCCACAGGTGTAGGGCCGTTCCCCAGTGTGGATGTGCTGGTGCTTCAGAAGGTTGGTGCTTGTGCTGAAGCTCTTCCCACATTCCAAGCACTTGAAGGCCTTCTCCCTGCTGGGAGGCTGCTCAGGGACCACCAGCTCAGAGCTCCCCCTAAAGCTCCGGCCCCCTTCCCAGCACAGGCTGGGTCTTTCCTCCTCAGAGCACCCTGGGCTGGCTTTGGAGCCCCTCCTGCGGGGGGATCTCCGGCCCTTTTCCTCCCCGCTGCCTTCCTGCGCCGGGGAGCCCTTCAAAACGGCCTCTCCCACCAGGGTCTCACGGGGGGATTTGTCCTCCGGGCTCTCTGTCCTCAGCTCGGGGCCTGGGCAGGAAGCAAGAAGGACAGGGAGGGGATTTGCCTCCGGCCCACAGGGAAGGCCAAGGACATCCCCCCAACTCCGGCCCCGGCAGGACGGCGGCGGCAGCGGGGTTGTCCTGCAGCCGGGGCCATGCTCGGCTGACAGAGCCAGCACAACACCCGCCCAAAGGGCCACTGACTTCCTCCTCACCTGCCTGGGGGGCCCAAGGCATCTTCCTCTTCCTCGCAGCCTCCTCCTCCATCCGCCCAAGCTTTGGGAAGGACAAATCCTGATGGGAGGAAACAAGGGTTGAGTGCATTGGCTTGGGGGTTCCTCCTGCCCAAGTCCATCTCTAGAACTCACCGGGCATCCTGTGACCATAAAAACCTCCAAAACACCAAGATTCAGCCCAGTAAAATGAAAACCACTGAGATTCAGGCAAAAATTCCCTCAGAAATATCGATATGAACCCCCCTCAAACTGCAAAAAGTTAAAGTTTAGCCAGAAAATACTCCAAAATATGAAGATTCAGTCAATAAAAAGTTTTTAATTGTGAGGATGAGGGGAGTGAGGTCATTTCACGAGCACTTGATTGATTTGTTATATATTAATAAAGAGCTGTATTAATGTAGTTTTACTTTAAACTCACCAGGGCTGTTCCTCGAGCTTATCTGGCCCCCTGCCAGTCTGGGGCTGTTTCTCCAAACCACCAATTCAAGTGTGCCAAACGCCCTGGTTGGTCAGTGCTGGCTGGGGCACCAGGCACTCGCTGAGGGGATGAGAAAACTGCACCCGGGGCTGGGCTGAAAGAGGCTTCAGCACCACATCTGATGGCCCAGGGGCATCATCTGGCTTCTCTCAGACAGAGAGAAGCACTTGTTCCTCTGCAGGGAGTCAAGGGCAGGAGGGTGACTCCTGCTGCATGGATGGAATGGCAGAGGATCCCTTGGGTCCCCAGGATGGATCAGCACTTGGAGATACAAACTGCCCTTGGACTTAGGATGCAGCTGCCAGCAGATTTCCCTGCAAAGGCTGCAGTGAGTCAAGCTCTGGAGAGGAGACTGTGCCCCAGGCATGGGATTGCAGACGGTCCCTCAGGTCTCCAGCAGGAAGCAGCAACCAGGAATAGACACAAAAGGCCCCACCAAAGATTTCTGGGGGAGTGTCCTGTACAGAGGGGACAGTGTCACCCCACCAGGGTGGGGCTGGCAAGTGGGAGGCTGCTCCAGGGCTCTGCAAGAGGCCTCGTGCTC